AAGAACCAGACTATGCTAGCACCCTAATCTCAGACTTACAGCCTCCAGACTTAGGGGAAATAAATGTCTGTTGTTTAAACCACTGATCTATAGTACTCTGTTATAGCCCGAATGGATTAAGACAGTAAATCATGACAATTAGCCAACAAATGGGAGAAAAATATTTTGTTCTAATGGGAACAACTCATTCTCTTCAATTTACAAAAGAGAAAGGTTAATAGATTATTAATGTAACAACATATAAAAGAACTTGTGATTCTCAATAAGGAATTGCTTTTCCAACTTCTATACTGATCTGCAAAAGTAAATTAAGAATATAACATCTTTTACTGAAGTTCATATTTTTGTGTTTGTGTACAGTCCCAGTTTAAATAGGTGCTTTTATGAATAAGTTGCTATCATTTATTACAAGAAATAATTTGTTGTAAAAATAATAAACCCATTTTATAACAAATCCACTTTGTTTCTAATTATATAGAAATAAATAACACTTGTTTTCTAATTTATACAAAGACACCATATGGATTTAATGAATTTAGTAAACTTCTGAAACTAAATTTCTCTTCAGACATTATTTCAGAATCTCACAATGAACATCTTAAATAATAATAAATTGTAGAATTTTAAGAAAAACAATGACATTTACATATTGATTTTTATTTATTTACTTATTTTTAAAGATTTTATTTATTTATTTGACCTAGAGAGAGATAGCGAGAGCAGGAACACAAGCAGGGGGAGTGGGAGAGGGAGAAGCAGGCTTCCTGCTGAGCAGGGAGCCCGATGTGGGACTCGATCCCAGGACCCTGGGATCATGACCTGAGCCAAAGGCAGACGCTTAACGACTGAGCCACCCAGGCGCGCCCTACATATTGATTTTTAAACAGCTCTTTTATTATGAAAACTCATAATCCTACTTTCTATATCTTTGGCAGAATCAACAAGAGAAAACCCACTACCAGAAGTTTTAATTGATAGCTATGTTTGAAATAAAGAATATTTGGATCTCCTTTATTATTTTTTTCTTAGAAATCACATGACTATTACATATAAAAAATTACTATTTTAATACTGATATGATGTACCAACCATATTACACAATGCTCATATTTCTCATAACAGACAAGCTCATAACTCAGTTATATAAAATTGGTATATAATTTCTATACACTTCAAACTTCTGAGTTATACTAGCTTTATATTAGCATTTAAGTGAAGAATTATCACTGAGTAGTCCTGAACTGAAAGCAGTACAACTCATTAAATTAACCAGAGGTCACATGATAAGATCCTGAAGTCCTGAAATTAGTTCTCCCAGTTTAGACACATAGCTATCTTTTCTTGGTAAAGTACTTTCTCTTTGGCTCCTGTAAATGTGGCTCTTGCCTGACCTTCCTAACTCCCAAGTGTTGTTGTGGGGATTTAATGACATAACATATACAAATGTTTTGTGAGATAGTGAAGCAACAGAAGAATGTGCTCATTAACTTTATTACTGTCCTATTCTGGATCCTTCAATAAAACCCACTGTCTGTTTTTACATAGTTGCTAAGGTCTCAAAGTTCTGCAGTTTTCACAAAATGTTTTAAATCCTAATTACTTTATTAGGTGGTTTTTTGCTTGTGGTTTGTAATTTCATGACTTGCACTCAGCTACTACATCACTTGTAACTAAAGTTACATATATTATAAATCATTAGATAACAAATTTGTGATTGTATATAAGAAACTTTAGGGTCTCCATTAACAGTGGCCAATCATGCTAATGGGAGACAGCTAACAGATCAAGTCAAGACTGATGTGGAAAACTATTCCCATTCTATTCACTCACATTCCAAACTAGAAAATCTTTGTGAGAATAATGCTCAATCTCCATGTTGATCCCCAATTGTTTTGGAAGATGGAAACTACTTTTTATACTTGGATTGTGATACATGGATGGGTTTGAATAAACCTTCCCTAAGAGACTTAGCTCCTCTAGATTCAGAGGATCCTGTTGAACCTTGAAAATTATGGCAGCCTCTCCTAAAACTGATGTACAGACAGGAGTCACATGGGAGGTGTTCATTACTATATCAAATTTAGGACTTGAGTAAATGACCTTAGTAGTGGGAATCTAAGGTGAGCAGTCCCCCAGTGCTCTGGAGGAAGATGACAGGAATTTTCATAGTCTGACACAGGCAGCTACAAAGGACTTAGGTCTTGGGAGACCATCTAGGAGCAAAGAAAGGAAACTGATGCCTTTTTGCAATACTATCTGAATCTGATGGCTTCAGCTGGTCCCTATTAGCAATCCTTGGATTTCCACCCTAAGTATCCCGCTTGCCTCATCCTAGTCACAGCCCTGATTTCTTAGCAACAACAACAAAGGTCTCAAAAGGGAATCTAGCCTGAAGATCTGGGGGATGATCTGGGCTCCACGTAAAGTTCTGACTGAAATGAGGGATTGCTTTGGAAACAATACCCGAGCACTCCACTGTGCACTAACAGAGCTATACTCTAAGAGTCCAAGTATGGTTCACTCCTAGAGATCTGGGCCAGCACTTATGAATAATTTAGCTTTTCCCTACTAATTTGAATTTTCATAATGATCAAATACTGATTCTCATTGATATTTGGATGTGTTTCTAAACTTTCTATTCTATTCCATTCATTTGTCCATCTATTATGCTGTCAGTAAAACAATAATTAGTGGAAATTTATAAATCTCTTTTTTCAGAGTGCCTGGGTGGCTCAGTCGTTAAGCGTCTGCCTTCAGCTCAGGTCATGATCCCAGGGTCCTGGTATCGAGCCCCGCATCGGGCTCCCTGCTCTGCAGGGAGCCTGCTTCTCCCACTCGCCCTGCTTGTGTTCCCTCTCTCGCTGTGTCTCTCTCTATCAAATAAATAAGATCTTTAAAAAAAAAAAAAATCTCTTTTTTCAAAATTTTTCTTAATATCATCATAAAAGTATACCAGCATCACAAATAATCCTAATTTTTAAAATCTTGATATTTTGATTTGGTTTATAGGAAATTGCTAAAATAATAAAAGTTTACATATTTTAGATAAATGAGTCTTTTTGTTCAAGAACATGGAGCACCTCTCCACCCAAAGGTTTTTCTTAGATGCTTTAGTAAAGCATATAGTTTATACCCATCTGTCTACCTACCTACCTACCTACCTAAAGTGTGTTATTAAAACAACAAAGAGATCTATACACCTATTAGAACAGTCAAAACCCAGAACACTGACAACATCAAATACTAGTGAGGACATGGAGCAACAGAAACCCTCATTCATTGCCAGTGGGAAGGCAAAATGGTACAGCAACTTTGGAAGATAGTTTGTCATCTTCTTATAAAACTAAGCATACTCTTACCATATAATCCAGTAATCACACTCCTTGGTATTTACGTAAAGGAGTTGAAAACTTATGTCTGCGAAAAATTTTGCCCATGAACATTTATAGCAGCTTTATCCATAATTGCCAAAACTTGGTAGCAACCAAGATGTCCTTCAGTAGGTGAATGGATACTGTGGTATATCCAGGTAATAGAATATTGTTTAGTGCTAAAAAGAAATGCACTACCAAGCCATGAAAAGACATGGAGGAAACTTAAATGCACACTGCTAAGTGAAAGAACCAGTGTGAAAAGGCTACATACTATATGATTCCAGCAAACGTCATTTTGGAAAAGGCAAAACTGTGGAAACAGTAAAAAGAGGTTGTCAAGGGCTGGAGGGAGGGTGGAATGAATGGGAGAACACAGGGCAATGGACCTATTCTGTAGGATACTGTAATGTTGGATGCATATCATTATACATTATACATTTGTCCAAACCTAAAGTACATACAAGACCAAGAGTAAATGTAAACTACAGATTTTGGGTGACTATGATGTATCACTGTAGGTTCATCCTTGGTAACCAATGTACAGTTTGGGTGAGTTATGTTGATAGTGTGGGAGGCAATGCATGTGTTGGGACAGAGGTTTATGGGAAATATCTGTATCTTCTGCTCAATTTTGTTGTGAACCCAGAAGTGCTCTAAAATATAAAATCTATTTTAAAAATCTCTGATCTTATCAAAAACATTTTTACTTCAGAAGCTTCTGTATTATGGGAGTTTTTTTCTCTCATTACAAACTTTCCTATATATGCTAATATTTGATAATTTAAAATGTGTATACTGGAAAAGGAAATGATGATTTATGTACTTTCTATTACTACTTAAATTTAGTTAAACCTCTTTAAAATTGTCAGTAATGTGTCGTATAATGAAAGGATCAGGATTCCGCTAAAAGTTTGTTGTTGTTGCGGCTGTTGATGTTAAAATTTTGATTTATGAATGACTAAGAGACACACTGTCTGGGATCCTATGTGAAGTTACTATTTTAAGTGCTACAATGCCCCAGATGCTGAGGAGCCTTAGAAAGGGAAAAAATGCCTCACTGGGGACGAAGACCTTGTCTAGCTGCACTTGTATATGGAGTCAGGGCAGGCGCACCAGGCTTTTCCCAGAATATGTCTCTACCACTTCCCGGCCGCGCCCTATTGGCCTCCTATCACACTGTTCCTATTATCTGGTTTTTATGACTCTTAGGTGAGGCTATGGATCCCCATCAAAAGACTATAGGGCACTTACCTCATGTTCCCCACTCAGCACCCCTGTGGATTTCCTGAGCTCTCTTAGTGGGACTCAGGCCCATCACTACTCACGCCCATGTCCCCGCAGTCTCTCCTCTGGGTGGAAGAGGACCTGGACTGCCACTTGCCCTTTCTTTCCAAGAAAGAACACAACCTATTTCATCGTTCTGGGGAGTGGGTTGAGGATGGCCTGAATGAATCCAGATGCTCCCCAGGTTTCCCGTTTCTCGCTGCCGCCTGATCCCACCCGGGAGCGCAAGGTCACAGAAGCAGTTCTTGCAGTGGTGACGCCCAGCATCAAAGCACCGCTGCTTATAACCTCGCACTTTCGGGGAAGGCAACGAAGCTAAGGAAACTCTTTAACGAATCCTAACTACGAGGCAGTAGCTCTGGGCGGGTGCACATGTTCTAGCTGCAGGGACCCAGTGCACAGGCGCTGGTCCGGCCCCCTTCTCTGGTTTAGGAAAAGTCCGGGGGCTGCTGTGTCCTTTGCTAGACCCGGTGATAGCAGAGTGGTTGGGACGGGGGTGGGGGGTGGGGGAGGAGTGGCGTTCGGGTGGGCAGTAGAGCCTATGGACAAGGTGTCTGGCACAATACCAGGGTCCTGCCGACCTGGGGCTACAACACCGGGAAAGCCTCATCACCCAGAAAACTTCCCTAGACACCCTGAAATTTTTTACCCCCTGATTCTAGTGGCAGAAGCTTCATTCCTGGAGCTTACTCCACTCCCACATCTGGAAGGTAGTGGGGATTATAATTTGGGAGCCCATGCAGCAACCCCTGTCCCTGCCATGGTTTCAGAGTCTGATAGCACGTGTCCCTGAAGGGAAACCTATGAGGACAAAGGGGGAAGTACCCTGTCCAGATGAAAAGAAAAAAGGCATTTCACAGTCTCTCCTCTCCTCTTCCGGCTCTGCCTCACTCAATAAAAGCTTTAAACTTTATCCCTAATGCCAAATGAGTTTCATGAATTCAGTCATAGAGTGATGCTGACAAGATTTAAAGAAATTTCTCTACAACTTTAAACTGTGAACATCATCAACCCTCTACTTTTGTACCCAGCTTAATTACATGCAAAATGGTTTTGTGTTAAGGAATTTCATTTTAAAATTTATTATTCAAAATGAATCTTTCATATAAATCTATTTAATGTGTTTCTCTCCTCCCGCTCTTATAAAAAATTATAACAAGATGGCCAAACAAGAAAGTAGCTTTGGTCACTTATGGTTTCTGGTCTTCCATATTTTTCAATACAGTCAAATCTTTTTTTCAGTCAACTTTTGATTCAAGTGGATCTTAAAACACTGAAAGACTTTGGAAAAATATTGGTAGTGTATTTTATGAAACATAAATACTTTCATACATTGTAAACTAGTAATCTCAGTCATAGAACTGTCTCCAATGGACATAATTCCCAAGAAGAAAACATGGATAGCAAGATAAGGTTTTCAGTATTTAATGGTGGGAGAAAAAAAAAATGGGGAAAAAAATGTAATACCTCACAGTAAGGGAATGTCTGAGTGAATTATAGTGAATTAGAGTATCATGTAGCCAATCAGTATAATTTATATCAAAGATACATGATTCCAAGGATTCTGAAGTAGTATAAATGTAGTATAAAGGAGAAAAGATCTGCCTCATGAGAACAATCTTGGGAAGTGATTAGTTTATCTTCTTTCTATTACATTGAAGGAACTGAGGCTATAGTTAAGAAGCTTGAACATTCTTCTGCTTCTAAGTGGCTAGGTAGGTATTTGAGTCTACTATATCTTTTCCACTCTGCTACTAAAACATCAATGGAAATAAATATATATATATATAGGAAGTACAGAAGTTGGCAAATTTTTTCTTATAATGACTGTAGAGGGCAGAAAACTCATTTTAAAATCTTAATAACTTGTTGATAAAGTACTTACATTTTGTCAAGGCTTAAAATTCAGAAGTCAGGAGATAAATTAATCTTAGAATATTTGTGAGAGTGACTATTCAAATGGACAATAGCCAGACCATATATGAAAATAGAACTCTGATCCATAATCTCTGAAAACAGCCCAGAATTCAATGAATGAAGGTTTTGACCAAAACCTTGTCATGACTGCCAATTTTCCAATATTTGACTTCTCCCTCTTTCTGCTTCTAACTCAACACTAACCAGAGAAAGCCAAATATGCTCTTCAAATTAATCACATAAGATGCAACACTTCTAATTAACCAATCTGCAGCTTCCCCATGCCAACCACCCCCAATTAGACTTCAAGTATGAAGTCTTCCATTTTTTTCAATGTTAGAGCTTTTCCACTTTCCTGCTTTCCTTTGAGTCTCCGTCAAATGTAAGTGATGATGGCTGACTCCCTCACTACAACCTCTGAATAGCTTCTATTTATTCTCATTTGGGTTATCTTTTATTTCCAAAGTTTTCTTAGACCACCCAGCAAGATTTGATTTACATCATCTATCACTGCAGATCCCAATTTCAACTGGGCGCAGGTCCCATGGAGACTTCTGCCTTGCTTTTAGTGGCTTATTGAGTTCTTGCTAACACAGAAAGTCCTCATGGTCTGAACTCTGCTCTCTTCCTATTGAGTTCCTGGGCTATTTATTCTCACCTTGTTAATAAACTAAGATGAACTTTTTGATTTCCCAGTGCATATAAAAGTTATGTTTACACTGTACTGTAGTCTATTACGTCTGCAATAGCACTGTGTCTAAAAATATAATGTCCATATCTTAATTAAAAATACTTCCTTGCTAAAAAAAATGCTAACCATCATCTGGGCTTTCAGTGAGTCCTAATCTTTTTGCTAGTGGAGGGTCTTGCCTCAATGTTGATGGCTCCTGACTGACTAGGGTGGTGGTTGTTAAAGGGCGGGGTGGCTATGGCAATTTCTTAAAAGAAAACAACAATGAAGTTTGCTGCATTAATGGACTTCTTTGCAAATGATTTCTTTGTAGCACACAATGCTATTTCATAGCATTTTACCCACAGTAGAACTTCTTTCAAAATTGGAATCAATCCTCTCAAAACCTGCTGCTGCTTTATCAACTAAATTTATATCATATTCTAAATCCTTTGTTGTCATTTCAACAATCTTCATAACATCTTCATCAGGAGTAAATTTAACCTCAAAGATCCACTTTCTTTGCTCAACCATAAGAAGCAACAACTCATCCATTAAAGTGTTATCATGAGATTGTAGCAATTCAGTCATATCTTCAGGCCCCACTTCTCATTCTAGTTCTCTTTCTATTTTTACCACATCTGCAGTTACTTCACTGAAGTCTTTAACCCTTCTCCTCCAAGTCGTCCTTGAGGGTTGGAATCAACTTCTTCCAAACTTCTGTTAATATTTTGAACTCTTCCCATGAATCACAAATGTTCTTAATGGCATCTAAAAGCGTGAATCTTTTCCAATTTACTTTGCTCAGATCCATTAGACGAATCACTATCTATGGCAGCTCTGACCTTACAAAATTGTACAAAAATATATTTCTTAAATAATAAGACTTGAAAGTCAAAATTACTCCCTGAGCCATGGGCTGCAGAATGGATGTTGTGTTAGCATGAAAATTGGCATTAATCTCCTTGCACATTTCCACTGGAGCTCTGGGGTAACCAGGTGCATTGTCAATGAGCAGTCACATCTTGAAAGGGATCTTTTTGTCTGAGCAGTAGTGGGCTTTAAATTTTTCAGTAAACCATGTTGAAAAAAGATGTGCTGTCATTTAGGCTCTGTTGTTCCATGTACAGAGCACAGCCGGAGTAGATACAGCATTGTTTTTAGGGGCCCTACAATATTTGGAATGGTAAATGAGCAATGGCTTCCTCTTAAAGTCACCAGCATTAGCCCTAACAAGAGAGTCAGCCTATCTTTTGGTTTTTTTTTTTTTAGATTTTTTTTTTTTTTTTTTTGACAGAGAGAGAGAGAGCGAGAGAGAGAGAGAGGGAGAGAGCACAAGCAGGGGGAGCGGCAGGCAGAGGAAGAAGCAGGCTTCCTGCATGAGCAGGGAACCCGATGTGGGGCTCGATCCCAGGACCCCGGGATCATGACCTGAGCTGAAGGCAGCGGTTTAACCAACTGAGCCACCCAGGCGCCCCTCTTTTGAAGTTTTGAAGCCAGGCATTGACTTCTTCTCTCTAGCTATAAAAATACTAGATGGCATCTTCTTCTAATATAAGGCTGTTCTGTCTACATTGAAAATCTGTTGTTTAGTGTAGCCACCTTCATTATTTATCTTAATTATTATTAATTATCATTAGCTAGATCTTCTGGGTAACTTGCTGGAGCTTCTATATAGGCATTTGCTGCTTCACTTTGCACTTCTATGTTATGGAGATGGCTTCTTTCTTTAAACCTATGCCAACCTCTGTGAGTTTCAAACTTACCTTCTGCAGCTTCCTCACCCCTCTCAGCCTTCACAGAACTGAAGAGAGCTAGGGCCTTGCTCTGGATTAGGCTTTGACTTAAAGGAATGTTGTTTCTGGTGATCTTCTATGCAGACTACCAAAACTGTCTCCACATCAGCAATAAGGCTGTTTTGCTTCTTATCTTTCATATGTTCACTGGAGTAACACTTTTAATTTTCTTCAAGAACTTTTCCTTTGCATTCACAACTTGGCCAACTATTTGGCACAAGAGGCCTAGCTTGCAGCTTACCTCAGCTTTTAAAATGCCTTCCTCACTAAGCATAATCATTTCTGGCTTTTGATTTAAAGAGAAAGACTTGAGACTCTTCCTTTCACTTGAACACTTAGAGTCCATTATACAGTTATTAATTGTCCTAATGTCAATACTGTTGTGTCTCAGAGAATAAGGAGGCCCGAGGAGAGGGAGAGAGAGGAGGAACAGCAAGTTGGGAGTAGTCAGAAGATACACATATTGATCGATCAAGTCTGCTGTCTGATAAGGGTGTGGTTCATGGCACCACGAGGCAATGATAATAGTAACATCAAAGATCACTGATCACATCACCATAACAAATATAATAATAATAATGAAAAAGTTTAAAATACTGTGAGAATTATCAAAATGTGACATAGAGACATGAAGTGAGCAAATGCAGTGGGAAAAATGGTGCCAGTAGACTTGCTTGATGCAGTTACCACAAACCTTCAACTTGTTAAAAAAAAAAAAAAAGGCAGTATTTCCAAAGTGCAATAAAATGAGGTATGACTGTATTTGGCAATTGAATATTTACTATCATCAGACATTTTACAAGTGATGAGGATTTAACTATGAACAAAAAAAGTTCAGGCTCTCATGGATCTTGCGATCCAAAGGGCAAGGGGGAGAGGAGTAGATAATAAAGCACGGTAAGTGACAGAAGGGCAAGGCAACCAGAGAAGGCTTCACTGATGTCCCTTACGAGGGGAGGAATGTCCCAGGATACCATGAAAGGAAGAGTCTTCCCCAGAATCATCCTGAAGCTAGACTGTGCTGGATGTGTTCAAGGTATGGCAAGGAGCACAGTGAAAACTATGTGCTTGGTATTTTGTTTTTAAATGCAAAATTGTAAAGTCCCTTTGAGGAAAAAAAAAACTTTAGCAGATTTTAAAAGATTACAAAAACATGCCAGAAATTTAACAGATGTTTTGTTTGGGTCATGAGACTATGAGTGATAACTTTTCTTATTTCCTTTTTTCTTTTCTGTAATACCTAAATTTTCTTAATATGTATTACTGTGGTATTTCTAAAAAAGAAAAAAGGTTTTGTCAATGAAAGTGCTTGTAAATAAAGGAGAATTTCCATTTACACAGGGTTATTTATAATGTTTTCCTCTATTTTATAGCTGACATATTCATATTTTTACTTTATTTAAATGCTCCAATGCATGCCTAACACATTATGTTTCAAAGTTTACACTTATGAATACTCCATTCAAAATTCTGACTAAAAAGACTTTTGCTGACTATAAGCTGATTACAAATTGTATCCTTTCAACTGATAGTTCACGATATAGATGTTTGTCTTTTGAAATCTCTTCACATCTTCTAAGGTGAAAATTATTCTCCATTAACAAACTTTTCTTCAAATGAGTAGTCAGTGAAATGCTGTGACATTTCATTTAATTGCTCTTTCAAAACAAACTTTTCTAATTCAAGGCAGCAACAAAGGACTTGTAGAAATGAGGTTATATGTCTAGAAAACAAGTAATATTTGTAATGTCTTCATTTGTGTTCAAATATTTTCACTCCTATTTCTTAAATTCTACGCCTCAACTACAAAACAATTATAATTTAGCATCAATATTTTTCTATTTTATGGTCATTTAAAAAAATGAATAATTAAATTATCCCCTTGGAATCTGACAGAAATACAACCTTTAATGTTCACCATCTTTTTTAATATGTTTGGGCAATTTTCTTGACCTAATATTTCTATCATGCTTCAAAACGTACAAAGATTAACATTTCATTAAAAACTGCAACATGTATTGCCATGGGTAAAAGGAATGGGGGTGTTTTTAACTATTTGGCCTCAGGAGATACTCAAAATATAAGAGTGGTATTTTTAACTTTCTACAGCTTTATTTCCCTAAAGAACTGAAGTATAAATCACAGAAATTCTTTACTTCTTATAGCTGCGTGAACATTATAAGAGAGAGAGAGAGACAGAGGAGACGGTAGGAGAGGAGCATATAAGGATGAAGAACGAGAGTCCAAAAAACAAAATTTCTTGAGTGTGTAAGATTAAGTTACAAAGGAAAATTCAGGTAAATTCTCTCTTAAATTCAGTCACCTCGAGGCAATAGGACCAAGCGCTGTTCTAAGTATCATAACGATAGATTTGAGGGGATGAAGGAAGAGTGAATAGTCGTGACAGTCAGTCATATGATCTCCTATTGCCATCAGGTTCCCTCTCTACCTTAAATTTCCTTTTCTTTTTTCTTCTTTTTTACACTATAGTTGAAGGGTAGGGGAGGAGTGTGTTTGCTGGTGTATTCACAGAGTATAACTGTAAAAATTTTTATGTCATCCAATTAAAAAAATGTCAGTGTAACATATATCCACCAAAAACCAAACAAACAAAAAAAGCTATGTTTTACAGACCTAAATAACTGTTTGTTTTTTTTGAAAATAAGCACCAAAAATTATTTTAATAGATGCATAGTATTTTCAATTCACAAATACTGCTACCTAATTTTAAGTTTCATGTAATGATTAAGTATATATTATATTAACAATTAAAATATACTTAGCTGAAGTGTTTTTAGAATAAAATTAGAAATTTACTAATAGCTTTATATTTGTTAAAATTTTTGTTTTTTATAACTGGTAATTATAACTAGTCATATTTTGTTTTTTATAACTAGACTATAGATAAAAATTATCTTAATCATTTGATATCTCTTTACATTTTCAGTCAACACAGTGTCAAAATGTTTTAATTACAAAGAACAGTTCTTAAAAATATTTAGCATTTCAAAATTGGGAGAAAATTTCTATTCCGAATTTAAATATTATTTGAGAAAACTGAGTCCCTTTCTAAAAAGCAAACCATTAAAACTATTTGTTTAGTTTGTATCTTCTTACCTTCCTTCAGTTCTTCTCTATCAAATGTAGTGCCCAAGGCTGTATCTTCAGAGTTAGACATCTGTTCAACTTTCTTCTCCTTTCCATAACTGGCAATTAATTGATGATATCTATGCAGAAAGAGAAAATATATATGAATTCCAGGATTCATAAACAGTTAAATTCATAATAATCATCAGATCAAAACCTTAGACGTTAGCTAATGCCTTCCTAAATATGTCTTAAACTTGCTGCTGACCTCAAGCCTCCTTTCAAGCCAATTCCCTTAACAGACACCATTTTTATTTCACATACTCCCATTCTCTGGTACTTTTCTTCCTGCTATCACAAATAAATTACCAGCAAGGTAGAAAAAATAGCTTTAGGTTATTGTTGATGTATTAGGTTGCTAGGGTTGCCTCACAAAAATACCACAGACTGGGTGGCTTAAACACGGACATTTATTCTCTCACAGTTCTGGAAGCTGGAAACCCAAGATCAAGGTGCCAGGAGGGTTGGTTTCCTCTGAGGGCTGTAAGGGGAGGATCTGTTCCAGGCCTCTCTCCTTGGCTAGGAGATGACTGTGCTTTGCTGACTCTTCACCTAAAAGCTGCCCCTCTGGCAACAAGCACTGTTGGTGTCTCTATGTCCTAATCTCCTTTTCTTACAAGAATACCAGTCAAACTGGATTAGGACCCACTCTACTGCACATTTTAACTTAACATCTCTTTAAAAGCCCTCTCTCCAATACAATCATCCAAATTCTGAGGTACTGGGGGTTAGGGCTTTTTAACACATGATTTTGAGGGGGGAGGAATGGGACACAATTCAGCTCATAACACTTGGCCTTAATGAGCAGGGGGAGGGGCACAAGGAGAGTGAGAGAATCCTTAAGCAGACTCCCCACTGAGCGTGGAGCCTGACACAGACTCCATCCCAGGACCTGAGGATCATGACCTGAGCTGAAATCAAGAGTTGGCTGCTTAACTGTCTGAGCCACCCAGGTGCCCCTATATCCAAACTTTTTAAATGATAAGGAAAATCCCCTATTTAAAAGGAACAGGAATTCTTTTTATAAAATGAAGAATCCTTTCATAGCATAGATAGTCATCAGTAATTTATCTCTTTACTTAAATTTTTATAACATGGTTTGCTTAAACCAAGGTAAAGCAAGGTACATATGTCCAGGATTGCAAAGAAAATATTGTATTCAATTATGGTTTATATATTTAATGGGTTATGAATCCCTTAGTTTATAAAGTTCAATTTAGACTAAAAAATAAACATCTGAATGTATATATAAAAATTACTTCTTTCTCTCTTTTTTTCCTCTCCTCCCACCCCTATGATGTCCATATGGAATTAATGATTAAAAGATATCACTAAAATATGAATAAAGTAGGTGGAAGAACAAGAAAACAATAAACTAGAAAAAAATACCTATGTGTAATTAAAATTTTACTTTAAAATGAACTTATAAGGAAAATACCTTTATTTAACTTCATTAGCTATATGTAAATTTCTGTTCATTTCATCTTACTTTCTCATTGACTATTAAAATTAGAAATGCATATTTATACATGAAAAGTTCTGTCTTTTGGGTTAATGAGAATATATACTTAAGAATTTTGAAAATTTATCAAACTAAAGTTAGCTAACAAAACAATAATAATATTCAAAACTTGAATAAAATTTTTACATTACTAATGTGTAAAAACAATGAAAGAGGCTTGTGTAGATTAATCATCTTTGGCCCAACACTATTACCCAGATGTTTTATTATTGGCTATGTCACTATTTGCTGAAATCACTGTCCTGACATACTTCAAATTCCCATGCCACTAGGAGTTAATCTGCAAACTCAGCATACCTGCAGTTGTTATATTGATTCGACCCTACAAACAGGTGAAATCAAGGATCCCTGGATCCATGTGGCCAGAATTCATAATATGGTTACCCCTACTGCAGAGCTTTGCACTTTGTCAGCTTTGTACTTTGGGAGCTCATGGTTCTTTCCTTATGATCAAATCCCATACAATTGTTAAAAGATATGCAGTACCACTTACACAGTAAAACCATTGAAAGAAGCATATTCCTCAGCTGTGAATCCGTAAATATCTTGGCGAGATAGGTCCACTTCTTGCTGAAGAAGAAGACTGACTAAATTTGTTGGTTCATCACTTAGAGCAATCATAAGGGCTGTTCTGGAGCAAGAGGGATACATAAACATGTATTTATAGATCTTAAACATGTCTTGTACTGTTTTTTAAAAGTTAGTCTTCCAAATTTACTGTTCAAATGTAGACTATCAGGGAAAGTGTCAGGGCAAGAATGTAAAAAGTGGGGCAGATCTGCTCAAAAAGGTGTACCAACCACATTATATTACAGAATCTAAAAATAAGAGTCTCTAGGAAGCAGCTAGCTCAATGTTTTTTTCTGTTTTTTTTTTTTAAGATTTTATTTATTCATTTGACAGAGAAAGAGCACGAGCGGGGGCAGGGGGGGAGCAGCAGAGGGAGAAGGAGAAGCGGGCCCCCCACTGAGCAAGGAGCCCAATGCGGGGCTTGATCCCAGGACCCTGGGATCATGCCTGAGCCAAAAGTAGATACTTAACCAACTGAGCCACCCAGGTGCCCTAGCTCAATGGTTTTTAATCCCTGCTCCCTGGAACCATAGTGTTTTTTTTGTTGTTGTTGTTTTTTTTAAAAAATGCTAGGAAGGGGCATGTCTGGGGCTCTGGGTACCTACTCCCATTTAGCTACAGCACCTAGGATTTAGAGATTGAGTTTCTGTGTAAGACTGTAATTCCAATGTTATAAAGAATAATAATAATGACCTACCAATGTGGACCAACTGTTTGATTTTACAGAAACAGATCGTGGGAATCTAGGTAATTTATCTAAAATATATGGCCAGATCTTTTATCAATATCACAAAATGTACACACACACACACACACACACACACACACACAGATATATTGTCTTGTTAGGTAGCTATAGTTGTATGGTCTTATTTAGCATTTATTATACCTTTGATTCTTATCTGAAGCATTCACATCTGCCCCTCTCTTCAGAAGATATTCTACCATTTTTGCATTATTTTCAGTAATGGCAAGTAACAGTGGAGTATACCCATCCTGAAAAGATTATTTCAAAATGATTATTTAAAATATTGTACTAACATTGTATGCCTTTTAGATTTAAGTTCAATTTAAGAGATAAGTGTGTTAGTAAGAAACGTCTGAATATACACTTTAATTTTAAAAAGGTTTTGATATATACCAAAATATGATTTCAGAGACTAAGAAAATAAACTGGAGTTGGGTCATTCAAAAATACAATCAAAGTTTTTACTTTAGGCCTAATTCAAATTGTGGGCAAGAGCAGTCTGGAGTATTTAAAGCAAAGAGCACCCAGCATTTAATATAAGTATTACAAACCATCAATTCACATTTCATAAATGTTGTTATCATTGAGATTCCATAGATCTCCAAGGCTGACACTTATTTTGGGCTGTCAGAGACAAAATATCAGTGAACTTAAGTGTTAAGAAGCTTAAAAAAAACCAAAACTTATCTCAATAGGAGAGTTGGATTACTTTTAGTACAGTAAGTGATTTTCTAATTTAACCCTAATATCATTATCCATGAGTATATAAATAAGACAGACAAAAATGTAGGCTTATGATCTTTAACCAATATCAACTTATAGGGAAACCAGATATTTCTCATTTGATATAGGCCTTTGAACAGTTATCATTGTTAAATATAGTATTGTTTTGGAGGTCAGTGTTATAGTTTGAAATGAAATGGACCAAGATTTTTTAAAAAGGAAAACCTTATCAGTGTTTCATAATCTCATTCTTCTTCTCCTTTTCCCCAGTTTCATTTTGGAAAACTCACGCTTCATCTAACATGTGTTTCAACAGATATGAATATCTGCAATACATACCTTCTTCCATTGCTTTCTAAAATATAATGTTATTTTTAATAGACTACCTTATTTTGATGTTCAAGATTAGCTTTGTGTTCAAGCAATTTTTCAACTAATGAGACACTTTGGCCACAGACGGCATAATGGAGAGCAGTATTGCCATCTAAATCCGCCAGATTTGGGTCTGCGCCATGGCCTAGAAGAAGAGTAGCACAATCCTCCTTAGCACACTGTACAGCCTGTTAATACAACAAGAATAGATGAGTAACCAACTCACTACTCAGGATGTGATATATTAAACTAACATTTAATACTATGCTTTAAACTATGAAATCCAACAAAAGTTAACTAGAACTCAAACGCATTCCAACTGAAAAGGAAAAATTAGCACACCTTAGTCAATGGAGACCGGTTTTCATTATCGCAGACATTTATTTTGCACTGCTTCTCAATTAAGAGAGATACAATATTTGAATATCCATTAGCACAGGCCAGGTGCAAAGGTGTTCTATATCAACATAACAAAACACAAAGTTAGAGGTAAGTCTTAGTTTGAGAAGTTACCATACTCAAGAACATGCCAGATCATATACTGTTATAGTATTTGCTTCATGTACTTATTGATATTTATATACAAGTTATATTAATTATAATTGCTTTCCACTGAATTAAAAAGGCCATGCAAATGCCTTTAAGATCAAATATTTAACTGGTTTCACTTCAAGGAAAGTTTATAATGAGTTAAAAATACATATGTATTTATGTATATATGTGTGCATTGTATTCATCAAAAAATATCTAGTAAGCATTTACTATGGCTAGGCAGGGTTCTAGGTGATGAAGATATAGCAGCAAACAAAAGAGACAAAAATACCTGCTCTTATGGATCATACCTGCTAGTGTAAGAAGTAAACAAAAAGCTTAAAATAGAAAGCATGACAGACAGTATTAAGTGCTAAAGAGAAAAATCAGGCAGGGAAGATAGGAAACGTCAGCAAACAGAGAACTTGCCATTGTACAAAGAGTAGACAAGGTAGCCCTTGCTGATAAGGTGATAATTAAATAAACTCCGGAAGAGAGTGAGAGAGTGAGAGGAAGCCATGTGGATATCTGGGGGTGGGGGGGTGGGGGGAGAAGCACTTCAGGCACAGGAAACAGCAAGTCCAAAGGCCCTAAATACATTTCTGGCATTTCTGTGGAACACTAAGAAGGCCAGGGAAGCTGGAGATGAATGAAGGGAAAGTTGTAGGACACAAGATCAGAGAGATAATAGGATGGGGGTACATGTCATGTAAAGCTGAATGAGCCACTGTAAGGACTTTGGCCTTGACTCTTAATGAGATGAAAAGCCAGTGGAAGTTGTTACAGCAAGGAATGACTCATTTCACATACATTTTATAGGATCTTTCTGGCTACTGTATTGAGAATAAACTGAAAAGGTTAAAAGACAGAAAACTAGTTAGGAGGCCACTGCAGTGATTTTGGTTAAGATAGGATAGAGATTTTGACTAGAATGGTAACTGTGAAAGTGGCAGGAAATCATTGGATTTAGCTATATTTTGAAGGTAGAGGCAAGAAGATCAGATGGATGATATGAAAGAAAGAGAGGAGTCAAGAATGATGCTAGGGTTTCTGGTTTAACAATTCAAAGAAAGAATTTGGTATTTCTAGAAAGAGAGATGCAGGTCTGAGGAGGAAAACCAGGAGCACAGTTTGGGGATATTTGAGATGTTTAAAGAGGGATGTGATGGAGCCAGTGGCTCTCACAAGCCAATTGTTAAATTTTCAGGAATATTCAAGCCAAATGACATCACATTGGTAGCTTGAAATCGGGGCTTCTCCTCCCTTTGCTTTGCCCCCACCCTCAACTAAGAGCCTGTTATTAATCATTTACCAGCGCACCACAGTCTATCAGATATCCACTTTGAAGTGTAGGTATTTATATACATGAATCTAGAGTTCAGGGGAGAGGTCTGGCCAGAGATAAAACCGTTGGAAGGCACTGGAATATAGACATTTAAAGATAATCTCTCTTCACCAGGCAGGTGAAGATTAAGACACACAGAATCATTTCAAGTTCCGAGCCCTCAAATATTTACCAGACAGGAAGAGGAAAAGAAATCGGCAAAAGAGTCTGGAAAGAAGTGCCCACAGAAGTAGGAGGGGTGCCAGGTGAACCAAGTGTCCTGAAAGACAAGACATTATTTCAAATACTACCGATAGGGCAAGTAAGATACTTGGCTGAGATGCCAGCTGGGTAAGACTGAGAATTGACCCCTGAATGAAGTCATACTGAGGTTACCCTTGACCCCATAATGTAATTCAATGGAGTGGTATAGGATAAAAATTGGAATAATTTAGATAACTCTGTTTTTGTCGGAGGGAAGGACATAAAACTACTGGCAAACTGACATAAACCTTCTTTATAACCATAGCTTCCAGTTACCCAATTATGATGAAAAATGATGTTTTTCATACTCTATGACTTGAAAACTTCCCATGAGATTTTAAGATAGGCATAGACAGTACATATTTGCTGTTATTAATACCAAACATGTAACTTCTTTGTTTCCTAATATATAAAATTACTTTTGTTTTTGCAGCAAGGGGTTGTGATGGGCTTTTTGAAGATATTCTGCAATTGGAAAAAAAAAATCATAGGAGATCCACATTAAAAAGATCCACATAAAAAAAAATTGTTTTGCTGTCTCAATGTCTTAAAAATCTTAACAACCACTGTTCTGGGAGGTCTCCTCTACATTTTTCCTATTAGTACATTAATACTATGGTAAATCTTGGGTGACTGGGCACTATA